AGAGAGAGAGAGAGAGAGAGAGAGAGAGAGAGAGAGAGAGAGAGAGAGAGAGAGAGAGAGAGAGAGAGAGGGAGGGAGGGAGGTACATGTGGGTCAGGCAAAGAAAGAGGAAGGAATGGAGTGAGGGAGGGAGAGAGGAAGAAGGAGAGAGCGTTTGTAGTGAATAAACGCCTTTCTGAAGTTGTTTACACACTCTTTTTAGTAGACTTGTTATTAGTCTAATATTCTGTAGTCGTCCCCTTGTCTGTCATTGCAGATGGCCGCTGCAACGACCGATATTGCAAATGCAACGAGGAGAACACCCAGAGTGTTTGCCCACATGGCTTCAGAAGAAAACCTGGAGATGACAGAGCCAGTCTGCAGGAAGGTGAGTTTCTCCAGAACTCCCATCAGGGCGGTAGCTACACCGAAGACAAAGATGGTAAGGCCCCAGAAGACGTGCCACGGCAGGTAACTTGCCCGCAATGAAGTCTGCAACCTTGGGTACCAGAAGGACACAAATCCGGCGATCCACTGTGCATGCATCAAAATGGCAAAAAAAAAGAAGGAAAAAAAACAAAACAAAAAAAACAGCAACGTCAAAATTCAAAAATGGTATGGTTGTTCCTTTCTCTTCTCTTGTCTTTTCTCCGTCGTTGGTTGGTTGTAAAACACGCTTGAAGGTGACGAGCAACCGGACTGATGGCCCCCAGAATAGAGAAGGGGCTGTGTTTTATTTGGGGGGGGAGGGGAGGAATGGAAAAAAAAAAAAGAATCAAACAAGGGTGAAAACTTGAAACAAAGATAAGTAATAAAAAAAAAAAAAAAAAACAGTCAAATAAAGAACAAGCAAGACGAAAAAAAAAGAGGAAAAAAAAGGACGAGCACGACAAACATAAGAAGAGTAAAAGGTGTCCAGTTGATGTAGCTCAGTGGTAAGAGCACCGGTTGCGCTAGGAGTATTGACGTGAGGATGGGATGGGAGGTGGTCTCATATTCCAAGACACCCACGGCCTACTGCTCCAGGTGATCACTGTGTACTCATTGACTGGCCTCTACAATACCATGGGCTTTTTGGAAAAACAAAAAAGTAAAAGGTGAAAAAACAACAAGCACGATTAACATAAGAAGAGTAAAAGGTGAAAAAACAACAAGACCACAGTGTGAGTAATCAAACCAAGGTAAAAACAAGGACATACTCGGATGCAATTGGGGCCAGATGCAGTCGGAAGGGAAAGTTCTACTGCAAGTATGCCCGTAGCCCCCCATTAAGTCACCAGTACATCCGAAAAAAAGCAGATTGAGCCTCTCTTGAAAAATAGGAGGGCGTGAAGTTCATAGTGAACAGTCGATTCATTTTATCGACGGTCCGTAGCCTCTGAATTTTTAGGAAAGGCCGCAAAGGCTCAATCTGCTTTTTTTTGGATGTCCTGGTGGTTTAAAATCACCCCTATTCTGTACCCTTGGCCTCCTGAACCTTCCGGTTAGGGGGCCACTGCCAAGCCCTTTGGCCTGCCGGGGTTTGGGGTCCGATAGGCCAAAATGCATTGCGGCAGCACTGTAACCAGAGGATGTGGGAGGCCAAGGGCAAAGCGCATCGCGAAGGGGCCAAAACTTGGGCTCTACAACACCCTGGGCTTTATTTCAAAAAAAAAAAA